TTCTAAGAACTGAATAAAGAAATTTATCCCTCGCGCGCAAATACACACAATCATTAACCACCATTAGTGATCATTAAATTTATATTCACAGGCAAGAATGATAGGATTCCAAACACTGTGGCCCAACGCACAAATAGATTGCATCCACTTAATCCAAACGTTGTGCCAACTGTTAACGAAGCAATTGCCTTTTACAGACAAGCTGGAGGGACCATRACGGAAGAATGTTCATTTGGCTTTGACCCACTTGCAAATAATGCTAACCTAGTTAGACAAAGAGATGAAGAATTTGTAAGAGAAAACCCTTCTTTTGAGGAAATCTTCAACAATGTTGRCAGTGGAAATGGCTTATTATTAGAGCAAGCTGTCTTATCGTTTCTGCACAAAACAACATCCTTATCTATTTGAACTCAAAATGCCTTTATTGTGATGCTTGTATTGTTAACATCTTATAGCAGTTTTATATAGTCTAATAGCATACAGTTAATTTATGCATCTCTGTCAACATAACAAAATTTTCAATAGAGTGTTCGCACCAAACCGCTGTTCAAGATGAACAACAGTTAGCAAATCATATTTTGATTGTTTAGTTAAGTAGTAGGACCAAATAGTTCTATTTCTGATGGACTTTATGTGGTGCGAGCACTCTACCTTGAGTTTTTGTGTCATCTGTTCAGTGAAATCTACATTTCACACTTAGAATTACATGCCATAATTTCAACGCTATTGAACAAATGTCTTCATAGTTTTTGTGTTCTATATCTCTTTGATTGATAGTCGGCAATAAACAAGCCGTCACACATTGGCGGGCCGTTAAATATTAATATAGTTCCATTAGAGTGATTTTCATGCACATACTCGTGAAATAAACTTGATAAAATTTAAAACGTTTGGCATCTCTTTCTGTAGTGTCTTCTATTGTTTGAATCTGACTATTAATACATTAATTAGTACAGTCTGTTTCACGAATTAGAGTGGTTTTCATTAACCCGTGACKAAGTGTAGTAAATAAAATATAATATTCATGTAAAAAGTGGAAAAACACAAAATACAGAAGAAACAATTTATWGTAGTAGTTCTAATTGAGCTAAAGTATGTTTCACGGGTTAATGAAAACCACTCTAATGAAGAACACTCTATTGAAATCAACATCTTTGATATAAAAGCGAAACGCAGTGTTACATGTAATCACAAATAGTTCTTATCTATTATTGAAATCGACAACTTCAGTAAAGCTAACGTACACCGTGACCACAAAACGGASATGATGTATATTTACTTAATCGAGTTYAAAATCACTTGCTATTGTGTAGCARTTATAATTGAAAATATTKCWTTTATAAAACTCAACGTGTTCAGTTATGGTATGTCAGTTTCACTAAAAGTCCGTCTGCACTCAGTTAATCAAAAACTGATGTGAGTAAATCAGCGTCATCGCTGTCTTCACCGTCTTCATCTGTGTTCTTGGTAGATCTGGCACTCAGTGACTGGCCAAGTACATCTGCAATCCCTCGAATTATTGGGACGATTTGATACGATGCTTTTGTGCGGCATAGTGGGCATTTTGCACTTGAGGACGCAACGGTTTGATGCCACTGTTCGATGCAAGGGATGCAACCGATGATATGATAGCAATCAGTACACACCGCTCCTGGAAGCTCGGGAGTATTTAGGCAAATTGTACACTTGAAAATATCTTTGATCTTTGTCTCTACATCTTCGGTACTACTTGAATTGCCCAGCTGCTGAGTTGCATCTCTCGACTCGACAAATTCTCGAATTTGCTCCAGTACATCAGTCTTTGATCTTTTGGCACGTGATCTCCTTTGTCTAAGAAAATGGGTCTCACTTGATTTAGCAACCATGACTTTTCGGCTGCTCTTCCAAAATTTTGAGCCTGTAATTTATAGAAATTATATTAAAAATAAAGCTTTAATAGTTTAACTGATTCTATCATAGTACAATTAGTCTAGTTTCGCATATNATAATAATAATAATAATAATAATAATATGTGGTATTTATATAGCGCCGATATCCTCTGAGTTCAAAGGCGCTTCACATGTATAGATCATTTCACACGGACCGCTGTTTAAGGCGCAATTGGCAGCCACGCGGCTTACAATCATGAGGGGTTAGTAATTAGTATGGGTTAGTAGTAAGGCCTAGCCACACACACCGGGAATCATTCCCTACTCTTATGCGAACAGTGGTGTGGGTTCTTTAACGTCCCTCTAATACAGGTTAGTGAGTGAAGTGTAGAGAGACGGGACCTCCGATTTTACGTCGTTATCCGAGAGGACGAGAAGATCTTACCATTTGCAGATGGAGAAAGACAAAGGCAGCAACTTCTCCTCAATTATTTTAAGACCCTGAGTGTTGGTCCGGCCGGGGTTTGAACCTGCGACCTCCCACACTAAAGTCCGATGCTCTACCTACTGAGCTAAACAGTCTGGCAAAGGAACTTGACCTGATTGGTAAGCCTACAGAGTATACTCTTACTACTTTGAATTCTGAGAAGGAAGAGAAATCTGGTATGGAAGTAGAAATGAATGTAAAAGCCTTGAAATCTGACAACCAAGTAAACTTAGAGCATGTTCTAACAGTTGATAGACTCCCTATATCTTGCGATGTCCCTACAGATGAAGAATTCCAAACTTGTCTTATCTGCAAGATATTGAATTTCTAAGGCTCAAAGATGGTAAGGTATCTATTCTCATTGGAAGTGATACGCCCGAAGCTCATTGCGTCTTCGGCGAAAGAAGTGGTAAACAGAAACAACCCTATGCTGTGTACGATA